AAAATCTCATTACCACTCTCTGATATCTAATGTTCGTTGCTCAGCTTCTGTTCGATAGTACGAAGTAAAGAGTTGGAATTGCCCTGATCATATGCAAGCCGAATGTAGTAATAATGCCTTGTGTGATCGTTGGTCGTAATGCTGCCAGCTCCAAATGTATTGGATCACTCATCATCCTACTCGCATTAGCCAAAATTAGTTAAATAATTTCTTGCTATCTGCATGCAATTCGATTTCGCACTTGGAGCTCTTCAATCATATACATACATATGTTTGTATTTCTCTTTTAAGTGCAATCAATATATGTATATTTGCCTTCGTGTGAAAGACATCCAAGAGAATCAGAGGTGCAAAGGCGTATGTATTTGTGAAACAGCTGTTCGCAATGAGCAATGAGCACAGCTTTTAGCAAGCTTTTAGCAACTGCATTGTGAAATGCATTCAATTTCGTGATCTCTGTCTCAGCAGTAGTTTCAGTCAAGTTCTGTAACTCAAAGGCTTTCAAACACTCACAAAGTTAGTTTTCTTATTTCATTCACTCAGTCAATAGTGCTGTGTGATGTCTATAAAAAGCGAAATGGAAATTAAAGAAACATCAAGTAATTGAAATGTTTATTAAAGACATTCAGTGCCTGTGTTAACTGTCCATCTATTTTATTTAATTCCCGGTGAAGCTGCCATCAAGTCCACATCCAACGTATTGTCAATTGGCGATGATAATGAATTCTTGAGCATCAAGAAACCCAAAAACAATAATTCTAATCCAAACTGCATTCGTAATGATTTTAGAAAACATTTTTGTGCAATATTGACGGGTATTAAAACACCCATAGAGCCTAAGATCGATTGGAATTTAGTGGACAGATTTGGAGCGACGAGTATTAAGGAAAATAATAAGCCCAGGCAATATCATTTTTATGGTCAAAAAGGATGCAGCGGCTGGAAATCTCATACGATTATTTCGGGTCCCACATTCAATGCAAAAGAAGTTTTCAAGTACGTGAAAAATAGACTGAAAGATGAAAATTGGATATCCGAGAGTGTCATAGAAACACCACTTCGAACAAAAGTTGGTACAAGCCTTCATTACGGCTCCGATCAATACATTCAAAAGATTGTCTCCGAAGCACTCCATGCCGAAGCGAAGAGGCTGTTGAACTTTATACAATATTTACACAGGAATCATAATAATAAATAGTTATAAAATAAATAAAAAATATGTATATATAATAATAATTTGTACCATTTATAGTATACCAAATATCACATATATCAATCATATATTAAATTTATCTTATATGAATCAGGATACTGTTACTGAAATAGATGTTAATTTTAATTATTTTGTAATGTCTCTAATCTCTAAATTATTAAATAAATGGATTTTTATTCAATATTCTAGCTCATTAGTTTTTAGATCTTTCTCTATCTCTTTCTCTCTCCCTCTCTCTTCTACTCTTGTTGAAAGCGCGCGAATCAGAGACGCTTAAGCGAACAGCTGTTAAATGTAAACAACTTGATTGAAAACAATCTAACAAGCTTTTAGAGAGCTTTCCTATATTTTTTTTATGAAATTGTTAGGTCACCACATATTTCTGCTATTTAATAGAAAGCTTTTGACTCTCAGAGTCACAAAACTTAGTTTTGGCGTTTCAGTCATTCCGTCAGCTGTTCGGTCTCTTTAGCTTTCGTACTGTAAAAGAAATAAACAAAGAATAAACATGGAAAAAAACAATACAGAAGTGGAAGGCAAGTCGGGTAATACAACTACTTTAATATAACAAACAAACAAATACAATAGCTATAATATCCATATTCAGACGTCACCGAAATAACGTCTGCGACAAAAGTGCTATCAATTGGCGATGACGAAAGCCCAGAGAGGGAAAAGAACCGCAACACAGATATTCTGCAAGAGAACTTAAGAAAGCATTTATGTCAGCTCTTAACTGGGAGCCGAACACCCATTGATGTTGACGTTGACTGGGATAAAGTGGATAGATTTGGCGTAGCTAGCATTAAGGAAGATAATCAACCCAGGCGCTATCATTTTTATGTTCTGCACGGTAACAATTACAAACCGGGTGAGATTAGCTCTGGGCCTGTCTTCGATGGAAATGCCATGATGGAGATTGTCAGAAAGCGATTGAAAGAAGAGAATTGGATATCCAAAAATGTCATTGAAACACCGCTCAAAGCTAAACTTGGTAGTGAGCCGTACGCCTCCGATCAGTACATTCAACAAATTGTTTCCGAAGCACTTTATGGAGAATCGCCAAGAATATTTAGGTTCGTGCAATATTTACATAGGAATTATAAATAAATACATTACATGGAAATTATAAATAAATACTCGATAACATTTTGTGTACATGTATTACT